ATGAAAAATATTAATTGTAGAATTTACGTATTTTTACTGAGAAGCCACATGTAATATTTATTGGAAAAATTTTCGAGTAGAACATGTTCTGTGTCGAAAGATGAATGCTGTATCGCGTGAGGTTGCATTCGAGGACTGAATTGAGAGTGAATGACGTAAAACAACGTCGTCTAGACTAATCTTTTAAAATATCCTAATACATACTGAAGTTTGTCTGTAAAGGGATCATCTCACGCTCTAAGATTCTACATACATAGTTTATGGATTTCTTATTATTTATACATCCCGTACGTACGAGTAATTTTGACAGAGAAAAGATCTATGTGTATTATCTTGCTTTCTATTATGTGAAAAAACTTTTTATAAAGACTTTGCAAAATGCATACGTTTTTGTAATTGTAAATACAGTACAGTAGTTAAATACTGTATGTAGTTTCTATTCACATATATAAATATTATTAATTAGCGTTTTGAATTATAAATGTATGATATGCTATATTAACATTTCGTTCGCTTGTTCGTGACTAATATTACTTTGAATTTTTTATACGTAGCATTTTAATTAATTGTGCTAGTTTTGTTTAACGCTTTAATGCTTTTAAGTTGCTTCACTTAAATACCTGTTTTATTTCTTTCCTTTTCCTCATTCTTTTGGAATGTAAAAAATTGTCAAATAGTTATGATTATTCATAATGATAATCATATTGTCAAGTATATTATTCATACGTGACTTATTAGACAATTTTTTACATTTCTTCCTGATGGAAGAAATCATCATCTTCCCACGATTTTCGGGCAATAATACGGACATTAATATTGATTTATTATCAAAAAATGTTTATAAAAGATATAACTCATCTGTTATTAAGATTGCATGTATAGTTGTGTTTTGTTGAACGATTTTGATTTGTAATATATGTAAATGAGTGAGAATATATAAAATAGTTTCAACACTTGACTCCTGTCGACGTTCCTAGCAAGAGTAGGTTCCTTATTTCACAAACTTTCAATTTTAAAGCACTTTTTCGTTTATTTTTCTGCGTTAGTTCCTCAACTACAATTTGTATAAATTTTATGAAAAGCTAGAATCAAGATGTGCGAGAGCGAACCAGAGCGAGAGCGCTGATCGTGAAATTTTTTAAGTGATGCGGCGTTTGTCTTACTGTCTTTCTCGCTAGTTTAAATCCGGCTCGAAGGACCAGAAAATGTGCGAGAGCGCACCGCGCGGACAGATTCGAGTGAGAAAACGGCACAAGGTTGATATGATGCACGACAGTGAAGAGAACTCCGTTTTCATTTAATTTAACAAAAGAATTTCTTTAATGTATTCAGTTACAAAGTCAAAAGATATAATTAATTAAAGATCAGATTAACAGAATATTAAATGCGGTCACCTTTTCCAAATTGAGCTTGGAATCGCGGTGATGGAAAATCTCGGCGATTTTCCTCGAAGCTTCTCGAAAGATTCGGTTTATAGCGATTTCACTAAACGGTTAGCACGGCGATTTTACGAAGCGCGACTATGACTCTAAGAACTCTAAGAACTTTTTGGAAGTAAGAAGGAGGACGGCGAGATCGAAGCATTTATTGCTTTCGATCTGAGCTTTCCCTTTTGGGAAAAATCCAATAAAATTTTGCCACAATCGTAATTATTACGTGGCATTAGGTGTACAAAATTGATTGGCGCTTTGGATTCTTTTCTAGCGACGTTCAACGTAACAGTCATGCGCGACAGAAAATCCGTGCGTGGGATTGGTGACAGCGCGTGACGTATTCGTCGGAGCGCGGCGCTCGCGTGCGCGAATTGAATCGTTCTAGAACTTTCGATTGTCCGTTGCCGGTAACGACAACTTGTTTGCGTGTAACGAATTGTTTTTAAAAAGAACAAAGAACGACGAATTTGATGATTTTAACGAGGATTAAAATCATGTTTGAGATGAAATCACGAGCTCAATTTGTGCATGCGTTCAATGACAATTAATGTCGGTCGACTGACAGAATTCTTGCTTTTCTTTCGAAGTACCGATCTCGAACAAAGAAGAAAGGCACAAGTACCTATGGTTGAAGAAAATTTGAAACTTATCTAAAAAAACACAGTAAGAGACTCATTTCGTGTGCGTGGTCCGGGATTAATTTACAAGTTCTCGCATAATTGCCAAATAAAAATTAAAACATTATATCCCTGAATATATGTATCAAAAAATTGAAAAAATATTATAAAGATAGAGAAGAAAAAAAGCAGTTTATCTTGAGACCAAAAAGAATTATAATGTTTTTCAAACGTTCATAGTCTTTTGAGTATACGCATAGAATTTATTTGGTAGAACATTTGTATTGATATCTGTAACACATTGTTTTAAAATTTAAAAAAATTGGTACTTCACAATAAAAGAAAATAAAATATCGCAATTATTATAGTATTAAATAACACATTCTAAATGGTATTCTTGGAGTATTGTTATAGATGGAATTTTTTTGATAAAACACTGAATTGATATTTGAATACATATTTTCATCAAATGTTTAAAATTTACATTTATAGTAAAAAAAAAATTGAAATGATTATTTAATCTATATCGGATTTTTTCTTACTATAAAATTGCTTTTAGTAATAATAATAATATTCATAATTGACCATTAATAATGTCATATTAATATTACGAATAACATTAATGTATATTTTATTAATATTTATTAATAAATATTAATATATATTAATATTATAAAAAAACATTATGAAATTATTGAATATGCATTTAAAAAAATAAAAAGTAAATGAATAATTAGACTAATACTCGTTTATATCCTTTTTAACTGTAAAGTACCAATTTTTAAATTTTGAAAAAAAATATCAACATGAGTGTATTTCCAAAGAAAATATGTGAGTGCATTGGAAAGATATCATGAAAATCGTCACGTTTGAAACATGTTTTGATTTTTTTTGTTAAAATCATTTTTATAATTAATGAGAGGGTTATATGATTATTAAAATTTATTAAAATCTATCGTTATCTAGAATATGTGTGTCCCTTTTTTCCTTATACAGAAACACGCCGAGCAGCCGAGAAAGCACATTTTCGATTTTCGATCGCTTATAACAAGCGATTAATAGAGAAAGTGAGACAGCGGAAGAGAGCGTCTATCTTTTTCACTCTATTACTTGCTTATGTTTACAAGTTACTAGTAGAGTGAGAAGGACGGGCGCTCTCTCTCGCTGTCTCGCTCTCGCGCAGAGGCGAAGTCGGCCGACTCGGTGCCAGTAAGTGTCTTGGGGATAGAAGGGCTGGTTTTCTCTGATCAAATATGTGCATCACTGGTTCCGTAATCAATTCTTTGTCGATTGGAAAAAAAATTTATTGAATTATATTCATTTTTACGGACGTTACAATAATAAATATGAATGGGATTCCAGGAACATCCCAGGGTATACATAAAAATGTAAAAAAACAAGTGTGTACAACTAAGGTTAATGTATTTTTGTTAGTATTGAATAAAAACGACAGAAATAAAAATTTTATTCAGGAAAAGAATTGACAGTTTATATATTTTTTTATTAGAATTGAAATCAATAAAAATCAATTAATTTGTATCTGATGACTCATGATATTTGATTGATGTAATTCCTTGGACTAGATTTGGTCAGCCGATCACTAGTATTATAATCAGACATAAGTTATTCACTGTAAATTCTATTTAAAAGAGGTCTGATTTGGACACAGTTCTTTCGTACTTTTGGAACAAATTTTACAAAAAATAAATTGCAAAAGTGATCAATCACAAAACGACTGATATTTTTGAATTCTACACTCTTTAATTATCTTAAGTCAATTACCTTTCAAAGTTTTAATATTTTTAAAATAATGATTTACAAAAGAATCTTCTTTTTAAAGAAAATTTTTACACGATGGCTGAAAGTACATATTTGCGTCTATGAATGCTATGACAGAGAACTGTCAAACTGCTGTCACATGTTTAGTGTCTTATAAGAACTTTACATTATAAATAGCACGCAAATCTGTTTAACCATATTTATTTAAATTAAAAAGGTCTTATTTGAAACACGGTCCAATTTAGGCCACTCTCCTCTACTGTTAAATCACTTGAAGCTATATAAAGCTCCTAAAAATAAACGTGAATAACTAAATGTGATAGGAACAATAAGTGAGATATTGTTCGGTACTATGGACGCGCAGAAGACTGCCGAATAATTAATGAACAGATGAATTTATTGTAGAGTAACCAAAAATTAATACTTGCAGCATGGTATTAAAAACCAATAAAAAGTAAACGTAATTATAGGCCACATGGACGAATTATAATTCTACATATAAAAGTATTAAGGTAGTGAGATGAATCAATTGGGGGAACAAAAACAGTTGCTTATTTAAAAAAATTATCCATTTTATTCACATATTTTTTAAAGCAGTTATATGTGCACCAATTGATACATTTTATTATTCTGTTCATAAAAGTATTAAGGTACGATTATAAAAAAATTAATATTTTACGAGTTATTTAACATTTTATGTTAATATATGCCAGAATAATGTATAAAATATCTTGTAAATTATTGATTTCACTACCTTAATACGTTTATATTTAAAATAATTAAAGGAATTTTGTGTAAAAAAAATCATACAATTCTATTTTTAAAAAATGAAGGTAACCTTCATATCTTTTTGCCTCCATCTAGAAAAAAGACAAATGGGGACCTAAAATAGGTCCCTTTTGAAATCGTTCTACATTTGAAATATTTTTCCTATCATAAAAAAAGCGAGATATTTTAGATGTTCGAGTTAGGTGGGACACCCTGTATAATAATTCAAGATTGAATTATTTAAGCAATGAAGATCTAACTTCGACATTATAGGCATTTTAATTTTTAGTATTAATTATGTTTTAACATATGCTTATGTTCTAAAATAAAGATTCTTAATGTTCTTTAATTCTAATAAAAAGGAAATCAAAAGATTTCTTCAAATAAAAGAAATTAAGTCTATGTCGCGATTCCATTATTTTTTAATGTGCTATGATGCATCAAGCTAGGCTGGCGGCGCTAAGCCAGTCCCTCAGTGGCGGCACGTCAGTCGCTCACCAGCACCACTAGACAAAACATGATATTACTGGCGTGGAGCTTGCAAATTTACCATGCTAGTTCCTAACATGATAGCATAGCATCCATGCAAGGACATATTGGCTCTTTATCTAAATTTTTATTCAGGGTACTTAATTTATTAATTTATAACGTAGATAAAAGAAATATGTCTAGATCATTGTAATATACGTGATTGAAGATATTGCAATAATGTCTTGCAATGTATTCAATGAAATATTACAATTATGATATTTCTATATTATAATATACTTATAATATTTCAAATATGTTGCATTATTAAAATATTTTCAATTTCAGTAATATTCATGTTATAAGAAAGTGCAAGTCTTTCTAATTATAAAATCTTACGTAAGTACGAAGTCTCGACCGGGCATCCAGGATAATTGACCTTGATGTCGCTCTTCGTGACCCCATGCACCATTGTTCCAACAATTCATTACGACATATGGCTCACTATTGCCGTATAAAAAACGCGGATTTAAATGCAGTAGTATAACGGGATGAGGATAAATGGTTTTACCCTTCTGCAGATTTATGTAAAATCTATAAAATAACATGATATACTTCGTTGAATAAACTTGGGAAAACAAATGGTTAAATTATAATATTAAATGCTTACGAATGCGGCAGTAACTTTAATCTTCCGACAATGAATAAACGAGCGCCGACACAAAATTTGCTACCAATATCCACAGTAATTGGAATTTCCTATAAAAAGAAAAGTTTGTTTTAAAATATATAAATCCAGATGTAATTAAACAATAATAATTGAAAAGAAAAATCAACTTAGAAAAAAATATTCTAGCAATTTTAAGAATGATTCATTTTAATTTAATCTCCCAAACATATGAATACCTATATGTTTTAGAAAAAACAAAATTTTTAAACAAAATTCATATGATCTGGAAAGAAAATAATAATAAAATTAGTTTTAAAAAATTAACTTTCAAAGATTCTTACATACGAAGATTATCGCCATTTTTTAAATAAAAATATCAGGATATCTCAGAATGACCGCCAAATATTTCATGCACATGTAAAGCGAACTAAACTGTGAATCGAGAAGCCTTCTACCATTTTGCAATTTTCGCAATAATTAACAAGATATTAATTACTGAAGATCATTGAATATTGTCTTAATTACTTGAAGATCATTTAATAATTTTTTACACAAGTATCAATTTTACAGAAAAATAACAATAGACAAAAATAGTTAATTTTTTCTTGTAAAGCTCTAAGAATGTTTTTTCAGAATTTTCAATCAATTTTTTTAGTATTGCATTTTCTTATTGGCAACTATTTTTGCCAACATGAGAAAATGTGGTACTAAAAAATTCTAAAAAAGTTCTCAGAATTCTACGAGAAGAAAATAAACAATTTTTGTTTCTTGCTGTTTTTTTTTTATAAAGTCGATAGTATTGGGTATGGGAATAAGTTTCCGCCCATTGCAGAAAGATGTTAGTAGCATTGCTCGTGTGTTTGATAGAACGGCAAGATATGTTTTTGAAAGGTGTGTCCAAACTTTTGAGCCCAATAGATGGCATTCGTTCGAAGCGTAACAAAGAGTAACTTTTTTTGCGTCGGAATTTATTCCAAAAAAGCAACATTTGCGGGAAGTTTTACTCCATTATTTTATTTTAAAAAAAGGTGCTGCGGAAACGCATCGTTCCTCGTAGATATTTACGATGAGCATGCTCCATCGAAAACTAGTTGTAAAGAATGGTTTCGGCGATTCAACAGTGGTGATTTTGACGTGCGTGACAAAGAACGCGAAGATGCACCGAAAAAATTTGAAGATGCAGAATTGTAAGCATTACTCGAAGAAGATTCGTGTTTATCGCTCGATAGATTGGCAAAAGAGTTAAATGTTGATAGATCCACTGTTGGAAAACGTCTACACGCAATGGGAATGGTACAAAAAGAAGGAAATTGGGTGCCATACAAATTGAAAAAGAGAAACATGGAAAGATGTTTGGTCATCTGCTAAATGCTTCGTCAATGACAACAAAGAGTTTTCTACATCGTATCGTAACTGGCGATGAAAAATGGATCTACTACGATAACCCTAAACACTTGAAGGCATGGGTGATGCCAGGTGAACCAGGTCCATCAACGCCAAAACGAAATATCCATGCTTCGAAGATTATGTTGTACATCTGGTGGGATCAAAGAGATATTATATATTATGAGTTGCTCGAACCGTCCGAAACCATCACTGGCGATCGTTATTGGCTACAACTGATACGTTTAAACCAAGCTTTGAAAGAAAAACGACTGGAATGGACACAATAGGCACAACAAGCTGATTCTGTTACATGACAACGCTAGGCCACACATTGCAAAACCGATCAAGAAATACTTGGAAGGAGTAAAGTGGGAAATTCTGCCCCACCCGCCGTATTCAGCGGACATTGCCTCTTCAGATTTCCATTTGTTCCGATCCATGCAGTCGGCCCCTTTCTGGAGAACGATTCAATTCTTATGAAGGTATCAAAAAATGGCTTGATGAATGGATCACTTCAAAACAATCAGATTTTTTCATTCGAGGAATCCGTTTATTACCGGAAAGGTGGGAGAAAGTTCCGAAGGAGCATACTTTGAATAAACTCACTTATATAGATTTGTTTAAATAAACACATCTTTTTCATTTAAAAAGGGCGGAAACTTATTCCCATACCCAATATGTAGGACCATTTATTTACCAAAACGTGCTTCTTATTCAATATAGATGCCATTGCTGCTATACATCTATAATAATGTTGGTTTTAGTTTACACGCCATTAATATATAATATATTTGGAAATCGCATGCATAACGTCGTTTACTGACACTGACAATAATTTGAATTTTTATTACTCATGGCGAATAAAAAGAAGATATATAATGACAAAAAAGGTTCCCGAGATACGTCTGGACATGCTTGTAGAAGTAGCATTAATAAGAGAAAGGTATTAAATCGATATCAGATGGAGCAAGGGACCGAAAGTGTGAGTAGGAGAGACTGAGGCTAATAGACTCATTTTTCAGTTTCAAATTTTTCGAACAGACAAAATTAAGAAACTTATCGAAAAAATGAATTCAACACCAATTACTACATATATTTGACTACCTAATAATATTTTAATGATAAGGGGAAACTGATAACTAATATGAAAAAAAATGCATTTTTCTAATGCATTCCATTTGAGTTCTCAACCAGGGACCGAGGTAATTCGACTAAGATTATTAAAGTAAAAATTAATGTATTTTAAGTTACATCTTTGGCTACATATTAATAAAACTTTTATAAAAATGTATTTTAAACACAAACATTCGCTTCGCAGAGCAAAACGATACTTTTTTTTGCAAAATTTGTTCATTTCATGCAAAAACATATTGAATAAGCCTAGTTTTCGAGATTGGACATGAGGGAACTAAACTTATAATATTTATCACTGAGGAAAATCTTTTTAAAGGAATAAAATTTTGAGTAAGTACTATAAGAATCGTCATTAAATGAGTCATACAATTCTATGCTGTAGTTAGTCTATTATCCCCATCCGTTCATTTTTTAAAAACATTAACAATATATGATAACAAAGACACATAAACAAAAAAAAATCTGTTAGAGTTTATTAAATAAGAACTACACTTACTATCTAAGTAGCAATCAAATATCTCAGACAATCATATACGATTGTAAAACAAAAACTTTAAGAATAAAAATATTTACTTAGGTGTACGATTTTTTTAAATTGTGGCATAACTTCTATCATAGATATGTTCGCAACAAGATGTTACAGTAGACTTAGTGGTAGTCGTTGCTGCGTGCTCAGACACGTTTATGCATGTCTCGCGTGTTTTGTTTTTAATGTAGCCTCTATTATTCTACTTACTCCTATATTCAGTTGATCCCGGTCTACCCTATCTCCGCAAAAAAATTGAAAACCTTGAGTGAAGAGTATAATATAGTATAATATACAGGTATCTCTCTCTCCTTTTGAATATCGTTTTATTGATTTTCTGATAGTTTTTATTATATTATCACAAATATTAGTATGCAAGCAATGTGGGACAAATGTCATTTTTAATGAGAAAAATAACCAAGACTTTAGGTTATCAAATCGTGATGAAATATAAAAAATGCGTTCCAATGTTATCAATGCTATTCCATTTATTGAAAAAAATGCATACGATATAAATCGTCGTATTGTTTTTACAATGAGGTTGCTTGATATTAGTCTTCATGGCATAAGAAAATTCTGCGCTTTTATGAATTTGCCGCATTCAATTTTTCTACGACACTATTATTATAATAAAAATATTTCCACCGCTGTTACTGTTCGTGAAAAGTCATTGAAAAATCCAGTTACTGAAGAAAAAAAGCCCAGCGAAGAAAATAGGTATTACAATGGCCTAATGATATCCGGCGATGGATCATAGTCTAAAAGAGGTTTTTCATTTTTCGACATCGCTACATAATTGGATGGTTCACTGGTAAAGTTATAGATGTTATTGTGAAATCTAAATATTGCAAAATATGAGTTCTAAGAGAAGAGAGCAGGCTCTATTGAATACGAAGAGTGGTCAGAAAACCATCATAATCAGTGCCAAGCAAACCACAAAAGTTCGTCCGATAAGATGGGAGTGGATGCTATTGTCGAAATGTTTTGCCGAAGAATTACATGGTTAAATATTCTATGTGGGTGATGGAGACAGTAAAACATTTAAAAGCATATTAGATCGCGAGCCTTACAATTGGACTGTGTGTAAAAAGGAGTGTATAGGCTATGCGTCTAGGCAAAAGCGCATGGATATTCGGCTTAGGAATTTAAAAAAAATACTAAAGGCCTGGGCGGAAAGGGTAAATTTACTGGGAAATTAATTAATGAATTGGCACTTTATTATGGTTTGGCAATCAGGTGTAATGTCCATTCAATCGAAAAAATGAAGAAATATATTAGGTGTTGGAATTAATTCGTAGCGTTTTACAAGTGATGGGAAGTACTTTCATTAATGTATTTTTTAATGCTCATGTGAAATAAATAACATTCTTTCATTAAAAAACGCTACGAATTAATTCCAACACCTAATATTTGAGCAATCTTGTACCATAAAATTTCGACTGACGAAAAACTGCAGTACGACTTTTGCCCTACCAGCGAAAAATCTTGGTGTTCCTACCAAAAAGCGAAGGCAACTAATAATAAGGCTTTCAGAATACAAGACACCAATGAGTTCTGTTGTTTTTAATGCTGTGAAGTTGATTCATGAAGACTTAAGTAACGAAACTTTTATCAAGATGTTTTACGAGAATTCGCGCAGAATAGCAATGAGAGCTTTAACACGACTGTGTGGATACTGGCTCCAAAAACTGTTGCAAGTGGGAAAACAATACTTAACATTGCAACAGATATTGCTATTTGTTATTTCAATGATAGATTCAAAAGTATAATGGAGATCAAAGAGAGACAAAAGTATAATGAAAGATTTGAACCACGTTGTGGGCTCTAATTGTTTCAATTTTTGTAAGGAAGCGGACGCGTGGCGCATTCAAGTGACCGAACACAGTCTTATCGACGCAGCAAAAGAGGCCAGAAAATCCTTATTGGTAATTACAAAGGAAGTTAATGAGGCTGATGACAGATAGAAGTACAGCTTTATGGGCATCGCAGACTGAAGGTAAAATTAACATTTTTCCTTCTCTAAATAAAAAAATCCTCTTGAAA